AGGAGGAGGAGGAATCCGCCCTCCCCCCTCTCCCGTCCCCGCCCGCCTCCCCCCCACCCCTCCCAGGCCCTCGCTCCCCCCCTCTCCCTGGCTTCCCCCGTCCCGCCCTCCCGCCCCTGTCCCCGTCCATGTCTCCGCCCCGCCCTTTCTCCGTTCCCCCCGAACCCTCGACCCTTCGCTCCGCCTGTCCGTGCGCCCCCCGCTCCACCCCCCCTCTCATCCCCCATCCTCTCCCTCCGCCCCCTCCCTCTAAGCCATTTTGGCTCAAGATAAATGCACGAGAGGGCATCCGCGCCCTCGTGCCTGCATGGGATAGCTCTGTTTCCCGAGCTCGCTGTCCATCCATCACAAGGGTCCCTCATTGTCCCGCGCGGGTTTAGAGGCTCCGGGTGGAGTCCGTGTCTGGAGAAAGGGGCTCGAGAGCCCCAGCCCGTTCATCGCAGGTCCAGCCATGGCGAGGCGCGCTGGGCAGCAGACGAGGCGCTGGATTTGCATTGCGTCAACTATAGGACTTGCCTCTCCTGGTGGAATGCTCCTGCGGCGGCGAAATGCGCGCTGTGCAAGCTGTGGAAGTCGGCCTGTTTCAAGGAGCGCGTTGAGCCGAGGGAGCCGTCTCGCAGTGTGCGGGACAGGACGAAGAGCCCACCATGGGCCAGGTCGAAGGATGATGAGGCCAAGAAGCACGTCCAGGAGCTCGAGTCGGAGATTGCGAAGCTCAAGTCAGCCAAGCTGGACGCGGGCTCGGGGAGTCTCGCCGAAGCATGGACGTCGACGCTGGTGGCAATACCCGCGACTAGGGCGGCGTCGAAGGGTCCAAGATCGACGCAGTTGGATGTCGCAAACGTATCGAGGAGATCGAGGAGCAGGTGGCGCTGCTGGCGAAGGCCACCAGCGCTGACGAGAAGCTGCGGAACGTCGTTGACGCGCTCAATAGGGAGAAGGACGGGCTGCACTCGCGCCTGCAAGCGTCGCGGCCCGTCTGCGTGCAACTTCAGGCCATGTCGCGCAGGGTCAAGCTGGGCGAGAAGAGGGCCAGTGCTGTGCGGGAGGCGGCCGAGACCGAGAGGAGACAGAAGGCAGCCCTTGAGAAGGAGCTGCTGGCTGCCGAGGCCGACCTCGACACGCAGGAGGAGGAGGAGGAGGCTGCGCTCAATGTGCAGCTGCAGGAGCTCACGACGAAGGCTGGCGGGGCCCCCGGCAAGGCCAGGAGCTCGGGGCCTCCAGCGCAGGGCTCGAGGTCAGCGTCGAGGCGCTGGGCAGGATGCTGGCCTCCAACGGCGTCGGCGAGGAGCATACTGGCACTCTGGCCCAGGCCTTGGCGGGCGCGGGTGTCCAGGTGTAGGGCTGCTCACTTTCGACGAGGAGGAGGAGGTGGAGGAGGGAGGGAGGAGGAGAGTGGAGGAGGAGGGGAGGCGAGGAGGAGGAGGAGGAGAATGAGCGAGGATCGAGGAGCGTGGAGCGAGGGCGGGGGAGGAGGAGGAGGAGGAGGAGGAGGAGGAGGAGGTATAGTAGGAGGAGCTGAGGAGTAGGAGTCGAGGAGCGAGGAGCGTATGAGGAGGAGGAGGTGCGAGGAGCGAGGAGCGAGGGCGGCGGAGGAGGAGGAGGAGGGAGGAGGAGGGGGGATGAGGAGGAGGAGGAGGAAGAGAGGAGCGGGGAGGATCGAGGAGAAAGCGAGGCGGGCGAGAGGGAGGGAGGAAGAGGGCGGAAGGAGGAGGAAGAGGAGGAGGAGTGAGGAGGAGGGGAGGAGGAGGGTAGGAGGCGAAGCGAGGAGGAAGCGAGGAGGAGGAGGTGAGGAGGAGGGAGGGAGGAGGGAGGATGCGGAGGAGGAGGCGGAGCGTGGAGAAGGAGGTGGGATTAAGATGCGAGGAAGCGTGGGAGCGAGGCGAGGAGGAGGAGGAGCGAGGGAGCGAGGCGGAGGAGGAGGAGGAGGAGGAGGAGGAGGAGCGAGGAGAAGCGAGGAGGATGAGGAGGACGAGAGCGAGGGGGGAGGGAAGAGGAGGAAGAGCGAGGAGGTAGGAGGAGGAGGAGGGAGGGCTAGGAGGAGGAGAAGCGAGGAGAAGCGAGGAGGAGGAGGAGGAGGAGGAGGAGGAGCGAGGAGGAGGAGGAGGAGGAGGAGGAGGAGGAGGAGGAGGAGGAGGAGGGCTGGCTCTGCGGCCAGTTGCTCAGGCCTCGGCGAGGGTTGAGTGCAGGCGAGGCCGGCCTGCCCCTGCGGCGAGCGGCCCCGAGCTGGGAGCCGTCGCGACCGAGCGGATCGACGGGGCCTCGGAAGAGGAGCTGCGGGCCAGCCTCGTGCAGGCAAGCGCGGTCCACTGCTCGCAAGGTACTCCAGATTTCGTAATAAAGGGAGGGGGGTCTCATTTCGGGGGGGTCTCTTCCAGGCTATCTTGGAGGGCCTGGGGTGGTCTGGGGACGATGTTTTGGAGGGTTCTCCCACGAGGGGGGGTCTGAAATGGCTTGTCTTGGAGGGTCCAGACCCCCTCCCTTTTATTACGAAATCTGGAGTAACTACTCGCAAATAGCCTGGATCCACCGTGGGGGATCTACGATAAACTGCATCGAGGCGAGCGCGTGTGTGTGTGTGTGTGTGTGTGTGTGTGTGTGTGTGTGTGTGTGTGTGTGTGTGTGTGTGTGTGTGTGTGTGTGTGTGTGTGTGTGTGTGTGTGTGTGTGTGTGTGTTCGGACGCTTGCGAGTGGGCACTTTGCGAGTAGTGGAACGGACTCGGCGATCGTGGGCGTCTACGGTGAAGGGGAGCTTCCTGAGGGCCTGGATGAGCTACGTGCTGCTGCTGAGCGCGTTGACGAGAGCACGCTCGCACTCCTGCCCCCGGGGGCCAAGCGATGCAAGAATTGACCAAGAGAGGTTCAGTCTTTGTATGCTGACATCGGTTGTGGAAGCAATGATGTCACACATTGATGCTGGACATTTTGTGGGTGCTGCCGCCGCGGTATGGCCACAGCAACCGTTGGGTCCTGCAGCCCCCCATCCAGCCTGCCCAATCCCCTGGGGTTCCAGCAGCCTGGGGCACCCAGGGGCTGATAGGGCAGGCGCAGTTGGGGGGCGGCGCAGCGCGGTTGGCCTTGGCACATCGGCAGCGTCGAGGGAGTTGGTGAGCGACGATGTCAAACATACAATCGTCACGGTGAATGTCGAAGGTGCTGCTCCGCTTAATGCTTTCCGGGAGGGCTACTATCACAAGTGGTGTGCGTTCAGGAACACAAGACCTTGTGCACGGGTCTGGCTTCCTTGCAGGGCCACGCCAAGGACCTGGAATATCATGGGCCGTGGTCTAGTGCTTTGGAGACCGCAGCTGAAGGCCGATCCAGTGGAGTTGCTATTCTGGTGCCCACGCATACTGTGGTAAAGGCGCCGCCGATGCTGAACAATCCCATCATGGTCGACGGGCGCGCCATCGTTGCCGACGCGGCCCAGGGAGATCCAGGTGGCATAGCGGTGGTGTGCGTATACCTCATATCAGGGGTTGGTCTCAACCCTGAGAATGAGGCCATCTTGCTGCAGGTAGCTCGTTACTTGGCGGACCTGAACCGAGCTGGGCGAGATTGGGTTGTTATGGGGGACTGGAATCTGGACCCCGATCTGATCAGCAAGGATTGGCTCGACGGGGTGAAGGGTTTCCTGTTGGCCCCTGACCTGCCCGCTTGCTTCGCCTCCATGCCTGGGTCTACGATTGACTGTGGCATCGCTGGCTACAACTTGGCGACGCGTCTCAGGCGGCCCAAGGTTGTCGAGGATGCTGTTGTCAAGGTCCACAAGCCAAGTGGCGATGGACATACTGACTTGTGATCGTCAGTCGTGGGTCAGAATCATCAATGAGCCTCGGCCCTTCGGTCGCACACCGCCGATTGGATGTGCGAGGTTCCCTGTTGACTGGGATGATGTAGAGCGCGCTGCCTACTCTGCTGAAGATGAGGTAGACCTCAGGTACTCGTGGCATCTCCTACTCGTGCAGATCGAGCGTGAATTGCATGGGGTCTGTGACATCGTAGACGCATCTGGGACACACGCTACCTCGGATCGGTCTGGCCCAATCTCTGCTCGAATGGCTCGGTGCCGGTGGCAACACCCGCGTGAACGGCTGCAAATAGGCGCCGAGTTGCAAACACTCGTGGCCGGGGCTCGCTGGGCCAAACGTGCTCAGGACACCCGCGCGCGCACCTCCGCAGACTGACTGACAAGGTCATATGTTGGGAGGACGGGGCCAAGGTTCTGAACTGGAAGGCGGAGGAGGAGGAGGAGGAGGAGGAGGAGGAGGAGGAGGAGGAGGAGGAGGAGGAGGGAGGAGGAGGAAGCGCGGAGAGGAGAGAGTCAGGAGGGAGGATGAAGGAGGGACGAGGGAAGGCTTTAGGATGAGGGAGGAGGGAGGCGAGAGACAGGAGGAGGAGGAGGCGAAGGAGGAGGAGGAGGA